GCTGCCCACGGTCAGTGCCCACATTTCAGCATCCTTTTTTACATAGTCAGGGATAGCTACTCAAGCTTGTCTTAGTTTTCTTGGCTATGCTACTGTTTTTTTCTCAACAAGGAAGCTTCTTTTTACCTACAGTTCTCTAGATGGGTCTCTCTCAGTCTTTCCTCTCATTATGGGGCTCCATAATCTGCTCTCAGAGCTTCAATAGCCTCTCACTCTAGGAGTTAGTAAGGGGAATTGAGGCTTACGCACCCTTTGGGGTTTCAGTGTGGGCGCTTTGCTCTAGAGTGTCTGAAACATTGTTTCCCCAGAGTTGTTCACTATCCCTGTGCTGGTTCAAATCTCAACTCTGTGCAGAGCTTTTTCTCTTGCTTGTCCTCTGTTTCTCTTCCTGGTCAGCTCCAGTGTTTCCTGAGGAGTCTCTTTGCATAGAGCCTGACTTCCAGTCCCACACTGGTCTCTGGAGGCAGCTTTCACAGGCAGCATCCACTCCTGCTGTTTGACTGTCAGTCCTCAGCATTACATACAGAAGTCAAAGCAGTCACATCTGATGGGCTGGCCAGGCTCTCTGCTTCTCACAGAGGGAACCTTGCTCCCCTGACCATGCTGAGCACCCTCTCCTTGCCCTCTGCAGAAGGCAGCTTTGCATCTGAGCATACAAAGGCCAACTGAACACAGCAGGTCAACTCTCCTGGCTCAGAAAGCACTAAAACACCCATACCATCATACATAGCTATCAAGAAAATCAACTGCAACCCGTGACTGAAGCTCTAAAATCTGGTAGTATGGAAGGCATTGTAGCCAAGAGGGAGCCAAAGTGACAGACATCAGGATAAGAACTGCTGGGGCTCTTCCACCATGCAGCAGCTGATACGAAGCCGTTGAATGGCATCCAAGATATTGAGCTACCTAGGGCTCAGGTCTTACCCAGTACAACAGTCCCTAGAGTTTTAAAGATTTAATTATGTAGGAAGTGATTCTCCCCCTCTACTCTGCTCTCATGAGACCCCACCTGAGGTTCTTGTCCAGCTCTGGGCCCCTAACATAAGAAGAACATTGATCTGTTGGAACGAGTCCAGAAGAAGGCCATTAAGACAATAGAAGGGCTGGAGCACCTCTCCTATGAACAGAGGCTGAGAGAGTTGGGGCTCTTCTGTCTGGAGAAGATTCCAGGATGACATGCCTACAAGAAAGCTGGAGAGAGACTTTTGACAAGGGTATGTACTGATAAGACAAGGGGGAATGACTTCAAACTGAAAGAGGACAGGTTTAGATTAGATATTAGAGAGAAATTCTTTACTGTGACGGTGGGTGGTGAGGCACTGGCATAGGTTGCCCAGAGAAGCTGTGGATACCCTATCCTTGGAAGTGTTCAAGGCCAGGTTGGATGGAGCTTTGAGCAACCTGATCTAGTGGAAGGTGTCCCTCCCGATGGCAGGGGAGTTGGAATGAGATGATCTTTAAGGCCCCTTCCAACCCAAACCATTCTATGATGATCACTTATGAAAGATCACCTTTGGAGTGAATCTATTAATCACCTTTTCTGAGTAACAGGAGCTCAAATAAATTGGACTGGACTACTTCTGAAGCTGAAATTGCCCATGGAAAATCATTGCTCTTTTTATTTAATTTTACCATTCAAGTTAACTTCCCCTCTCCAATTTAAAACTGTCTAAAGTTTATGGACTTAAAAGTAGTGCCTCCTGAAAAACACAATTTCAACTTCTAAATGTCTCTATTGTACTTAAAAGTGAAGATCAGTTTGTAATATAATTTTGCCAAGCATATACAATCTGAAACCATTAAATGTTTTTATTTTTTGGTTTTTTCCTCCTCACCCTGAAGGAATACTATAGAAGATAGAAGAAAAATCTCCACTCTTGCGAATGAGAAAAAAAATTGCAACCATATTTAAAAATACTGAAGCCAAAATAATGGAGACTTTTAATAATAGATAAGTTAAAGCCATTGCAATGATAAGGCAGATCTGTATAGTGCTGGCTGCAAACTTCAAGTCACTACTGCAGGAAGACATCCTTCAAAGAGTTATTCATCATCGATATATACCTGACAATAAGGATTTTTGTTTTGTTTAGGAAGAAGCAGGTGAATCAAAACTCATTTGAAAATCTATTTCTTACAATATTTTGGTAGTTCTGATAGGGTCTGATCTGATTTTAATAAGACAAGACCTGTTCAGGAGCAGCTCTCAAAGCAATGCACACACAGGACATACGCAGTATTGCTCTGAACATACATTTGCCTTAACTTCTACAATGAGACAAAAAGCACCATGATATTCTTCCACAGTGTTTACTATATATTATTTTTTCCCCAGAAAATTTAATTTTAAATCTCATTAATAGCACGTCTTTTGTGTAGGGCTATCTCTTATTCTTACTGTCAATAAAACATCTGCACTTTTGACCCTGTGCACAAGTACCATTTCAGTAACTCACATCTAGTTCATGCCTGTGTGTGCACATGCACAGCACCCAGGATAAACATGTTTGCTCTTTAGCCCTGAAGCATCTCTGTTTCACTGCAGATTGTAGAACAGGATCAGCACAAACCATATGTCTCATGAGTCTCCAGGAAAATAAGGGGAAAAGTGAAAAATGGGGCTGTGGATCACCTCCAAATCCCTACTGAGGAAGGCAACTTGAGATCCTTGACATCTGTGGCCTCTCTTAAAAGGAAAAAAAAAGAGGAGAAGAACAGATCTATACAGACGCAGTGGTGGGAATTTATGTCTCATTTCCATTATGCCACCAGTCTCACACACTCCAGGCTTACTTATTCTTTTTTTATGGGAATAAGATTTCTGTGTCCTGTGACCCAGGATCCAGTCATGGTTCAGGACAGAGCTGAAAGCAGCCGGGGAAGTTTGCATCGAGGCGTTGGAGGAAAGCAGTTGTCAAAGCAGTCTGGTGAAAGCTAACAAGAAGAGCAGACGTGCAAGATGGAAAATATAAATGTCTGCTTTTTTACCTTCCAAAATGATGTACAGATGAGCTATCACATCGGGGGGGGGGGGGCATACCTGTGCACTGACTGACAGCTAGGTATTGCCAGAATAGCAACTGTCAATGCTGCCTGCTAACAACAGGACAGAATTAGGTATCCCCCTCTTTTTCAGTCTTTCAGGAGAAGCTGGGGATGTACAGACACACATTCAGTCACCTGCTTCAGCACTGTGTGGCTTCCTGTGGAAAACTACTACTCTTCTAAAAATGAAAAGGCATTGCACTGTGGATTTAAGAACATTAATAACCCAAATTTGCACTTTAACTTAGAGCCCATGCTTCAGTAGATTTAAGCCTTGAAACTAGGACAATTTTTGTGATGCAGGTAGAATAAGCCCCAACCTCTTGTGGCAAAATGCTTAGAGCAGTAAATATTTATTATTAAGTCAGCTAGGATCCATTTCGTCTAATTAAAACATTTGCATCCTGGTGCTGTCTCATCCCATACCGCCCAATGGAAAATGTATTTCTCTAAGTCAGTGCTGCTCCTGAAAGTGACCCCATTGAGCTGGAAGACTACAACCTCTCTGGACTGTAAAATCACTCAGAGACCACCTTCTGAGGGGGAGCTGATGACACAAGGCTTATGAAGTGCCAGCTTTACAATTGTTGCTGCTATAAAACATGTTTTTGGGGTTGGAATTGAATGTATTAAACTTCTTCATATAGCTCAGGAGCTTATAGCCTTTCTTTAGCACCTATTCATGAATGAAGTCCTGCTAAGCCGGGGATTACCGAGGGACACAGAGACAAGGTGTTTTTTACAATTTCTTTTGATTGCTGATGTCCTAGTGCCTGCAGTGATGAAGAGCACCCTTAGCTGGCCATATTACTGTACCAGACACCACCATACTATGTAATGGGAAGCAAAAATAATACAATTTAGATACAGGATATTGCAAAAGGAACAACTAATGCTGCACGCCTCTGAATTTATGGTGCCTGATTTCCTGTAGCTTCGTCTGTTGTGGAGTTTACAATGTTTACTAATGCAGCTTGGGCACACTGCAGCCTTCCTCTCTCTATGGGCACCAATTCCTTCTTTTCCAGCAGCTGCCTTTTGCCAAGGAAATTGCATAATGGCAGTTCTGCAGCTTTGACAAAGGTGGTTGAGGTTAGTCACATAGCTAGAGCATCATTTCTGGAAGAAAAATAGCAAACCAAACTAATTGACTCAGGAAATGAATTTGTCGATGTCATTTTTGTGTTCCCCAAAGGCATTTATGTAGTCACTGTAGCACTTTAGGTGGTGTTTTCCAGCTACTTCTAAAAAAACCCAAAAAACCATAAAGCCCCATAGAAATAGAAGTTGAAAGGAATTTTTCTGTTAACTTCATCTGTTCATTTTGTTGCAGCTAGGATTTTGCCTCTGATTTCTGCCCTGTGTTGTACAAACTGAAGATGAAGGACACTTTTAACTTGCCCTCTAACTAACACACTACAAGGGTTATAAGAAGTTAGCCAGATCATGGCTACCGAAAAGCGACTGAGATACAGTATTTGAAGTCAAGTGAAAAAGCACATCAAAAGTACCTACCAAAAAGGAACTGAAGAGAATAAAGCTACGTAATATTTGGGAAGAGCAACATGAGGTGGACAAAAGATATATAAAAGTGAAAGACTACAACCACAAGCTGAAAATAATGGCCTGGGTAAGGCAAGGAATGCAGGGTGAGGAGAGGAAAATCATTGGGCCAGGGACTAGGAGGGAATGAAGAATGTTTTTTGGATGGAGGTGAAGATGGAATAACCACAAACACTGGGACTGCCCTTGGCTGACCAGAACTTAAGTTGTGCATTAGCCACCACACATCCTTCTTCTCCCTTATGCCTTCCATAAGATATGCTTGCTAGTTGCTTGAAAGACTTCTTTAAAACTTGAGTTCAAGGACTTAGAGCAGAGTCCTTGCTTTCCTGCCTTGTTTATTATCCCATGTACCTTACCAACATATGTTCTAGGTGCTGGTACAGTACACACTAATGAGCTAAAAGGGAGACAGGACACACACTGAAATAGCACACAAAAATCATTCCATCTGCCAGACTTCTGGATAAATTGAGTTACTTTTAAGAGCTCAGGGAATATGGGAGTACAAAGAGCAAGATATAACTAGGGTGTGAAGCTGAGTTTCAAGTAGAGTCGGGAAAACTGACTTGTTTAGTTATATGGAGAAAACCCAGGAGTTAAGCAGTAACATAAGACTACAAATGAAAAAGCTATGCCAGCCTTGTGCCATGCTAGTTCTACATCACAGAGAGGTAGATGGAAAGATGAGGCAGTGAGTTTTCAGTGCATTTGCTTACAAAATTATTTAAAAACAAGTTTGATCTCAAAATATAGCCCCTATAGATATAATGAAAATAAATATCTTCCCCAATGCATTGAAATGTGACTTGTTACAAAAATCTAAATGACTTACTTCTGGTTCCACAGCTCATGTGATCCACTGCAAAATCTTGTGTTTTGAATGATTTTTTTTCTTCACAAGATGGAAAAAAAAAAAAAGCTAAAACCTAGCTAAATGCCTATCATGAAAATATCATTTTATTCCAAATTTAAAGCTGAGGTAAACTACATTTTCACTTACAAATGAAAACAGCCTAGGCATACTAGGAAGGCCAAACACACTGGTATTTTTTTTTAGAAATTTCTTCTCTAGAAACCAACGACTGGTATCTGAGGACCAGCACAGACTAAACGTAATAAAGAAACCTCACCTCTGAATTACAGGTATTCGAAGCTTACAAAATTTGAAACTTTTTATCCTGTTTGGGAAACAAAGTAGATGGTGACTTTTTTGTCACAGTTCCTTTCTGTTTGTGTGCCCACACGGTGTAGCACAAGGCAAAAAAGGAGAATTTGCAAAGAATCAACGGAAACCTTCTGGCAATATTTCAATTGGTCCAAAATTTTGTAAAATGTGGCTTCCAAAACTAAAATTAGCCACGTTCGATCCATTCCCATATGAAGAAGTGATGTGCTCTATCTTGAAGAAGATAAAATCTTATATGGAAGATGTGATGAGAAAGGCTGCTGGCATGAGCTTAGGATGTTCACATTTTAAGTGATGAAGACACGTCAGTGAGTTATGTAAATTATCTGAAACAAATGCCAAAATTCCTTTTACTAAATCATCACACACTTTACGTAACATTTAGCTTACTATAACCCTTTTCATATATACATTTCTCAGCCTTGCAAAAAGGAGAAAATAAAAGCTATTTTAGAAGTAATTTAGGAAGCTTAAAAAACAACCAGTCACAGTGAAATTTATTAGCATCTTTTCTATGCCTCACTTCAACTGCCACTTTATTGAAAAGTGTTATTCTAGTAAAATCCTTAAAAGGAATGTCTCAAGGCTTTCAATGACTACAAAGGACACTTGTAAAGTTAGCTGTTCTCATTAGTATACAGAGGCCAGGATTTGGGGAAGGGAAAGGGGGGGAGGGAAGGGGGATGCAAAATCAATGCATAATTATCAGTGGCAAAAAAGTTCAAGTCAAACTTGCCAGCTTTCAGAATTTCAGCTGACCCCCACACATATACTTTTAACCATAGTTGTGTAACAACACCAGCTCCATCAGCTGTGCTCAGTTTTGAGCTCGTCTCCTTCAGCTCTTTTAGCAATTAAACTATTCCTCCCAGGGTTCAAATTCAGTGTCAGCACAGCAAATACCCACCTCCCTGAGCATCTAAAGGGCAAATACAAGAATAACTAGTTTTTCAGTTGTGGCTAGTGGTTATATCTGATGCTAAGGTTTCTTTGTATCTGCTATTGAACTTTTTTTACTGGATTAAGAAACAAAGAAATTTCGAATAAAAATTCAGTTGAAGGACAATCTACCCACTATGTTATTGTGTTAGAGGATAAGAATTAATGGCAGATTTGAATCCTTTATAAGTTGTGCAAAATGCCACAAAAGCAGTGCAAGTTACGCGAAAAGAGACTTCAGATGCTAGCAATTAAGGAATTCTAAAATGCATTGAACTGCATTATAAATTAATCAAGATAAAGCTAATAATAACATCACATACTGGTCCTACTGCATGAGGAATTCAGTGAGACATCATAAAACCCTTCAGCATCAGTTTCTATTACTAGCTGTGGCAGAGAAAGAAATCTAAAATATTTTGTGGAATTAATGTATTCATGAAAGAACTAATCACAGAAATAAACGTAGCTGTTCAAATTGCTCTCTTGGACAAAGACAAACATCTTCCATTTTCTTTCATGTGGGATTGCTACCTTCTTCAAAGGAGCTTTTACCTCAAATTGAGTGGGGGTTGGGAGATTGTTATGCTCCAGTCTGTCTGATGTGTTCAGTTCTGATCTTGAAGCTCAATGACCACTAAAAACCCAAGATAGGATTTTACCAAGGAAGCCATTCAAAATAGGTATCAGAACTTAATAATGACCAGCATCAAATTATCAAATTCCGGTTTACAGATTTTTAATTGCTGCCTAGACCTACCTCTCCTTTCTTGAGTACTTCCCACCCCCCCCTCCTCAGAGGAAGAATAAAAAAAGACAACCCAAACAAGTAACCAACACAAGCTACGTTCCTGCCCCAATACAAGATCCCTAATTCTGGTTTCAGAATGATTTGACTTATAAATTCCAGCAGC